CGAAGGGAAAAAGAAGGATATTTTTTGGGCTACATGGGTTGATTGAAGACTTGGGAATTGTTCAGAAGTCACGTTGAGGTGTTTTTGTGGACAGTCAGAGTGCCATTTGTTTGGCAAAGAACCAGGTTCATCATGTCCGCACCAAGCACATTGATGTCGCGTTTCCATTTCATCCGAGAAATTGTGAATGAAGGGGATATTCTGCTTCAAAAGATTGGTACTGCAGATAATCCGGCCGATATGCCACAAAGGTAGTTTCTGGGATCAAGTTCCAACATTGTTTGGACTTGGTCAACATCTCTCGGAACTGAGCACCTTCGGGGTGCATGGCAGTGTTGATTTCGATCACTATGTTGGATAAGAGAATCCTCGCCAAGGTGGAGATTTGTTGAGTTGGCTACAGATTCTTCCATGTGAAGAAAAGTAGCAGCAGCTAACTATGGTGGGGAGCCATGAGTTGGCCAAGAGCCATGAGGCCATACCATGAGGCATGAGGCCATGAAGCCTCAATCTGGAAAGCCACCGAAATGGGCTGGCAGCCAGCCTCATTACTCTAGCATTTGTAATCTCTTATTATATGAGAAGCTAAGGAGAGTTGAAACACAGCTGAGAGGTGTGAGCTTAGAGAGCAAAGAAGAGAGAATTACTGAGAGAGTTGTAATTCTTACCATTTTGTTCAATATAGTGAATCCGCTGCCCGTGGACGTAGGCGACTTGCCGAACCACGTTAAATCTTGTGTGTTATGTGCTGTTTGAGTTCCCTGGGTGCCCCCGATCCTAAACACTAAATAATATGAATCTGGCTTGATTTTTTTAAGTCGGGTGTTGATTTTTTGGAACATATATGCGGATGGATTGAACTTGATGAAAGTGTATCATTGGGAGATCCATTTCTCAGTTTGGTCGATACTATTGAGTGTTTTGGAAGTTATAATGGATGGATTTGTTAGACTGGGACGAAGTATGAAATCCGCAATTTAACAAACGCCCATCATACTAAATTTACTATTTATTGGCAATCTGCATGATCCCAGTTGCAATCAAGATTTTTTTATCACCATCGCGTCCACTTTTGGACTTAGCCTTCCAAATAGCGAGTCCTTGATAATGAAGTTGTATTCCTCATTGCGTTGTTCATCATGATTTCTTTACTTCTCAGATCAAGTATTCTCTTTCTGTTCTGTTTGATGACTATCTGTGTTAGCTCCAGCCCACATAGAAGAGTCATTAAAGGGTGGCTCTCCAAGTCAAGAAGTAGGAGAAAATATGGCAAGTGGCAGCTAACTCAATAACTCTTTCTTTCTTGACTTGGTTTCCCTCTCGCTGTGTGTATATAGATCCTAAGAGGAAAGAAGAAAAATAAGAGAACACAGAGTGTGTGTTTGTATAACCAGAGTGAGTGAGAATGCTATAGAGAGAGGGGTGTGAGTGTTGTAAACTCCCTCCGAGATAATTCTATAGTGAATATCTCTTTCCGTGGACGTAGGCAATTGCCAAATCTCGTTTGTTGTTTATGAACGTAGGCATTGCCAAATCTCGTTTGTTGTTTATGATTGCTTATTCATGTGCCAAAAACAGGTTACCTAATCCTAACAATCTAGAGGTGAGCATGGTCCGGATTGGATCGAATTGGAGTAAAACCAGGACCAATCCGTTATTTACGGTTCCTGAAAAATTGGAACCAATCCAATCCGTTTAATCATGGAACCAATCCGAACCAATCCATTTAAATACGGATTGGATCGGTTTAGGACCACGGATTCACATAATTAAATAACAAATAATATATAATAACACTTTAATTTCATAAAAATATGAACATAACGCTATATTAGTTCCACATAGCAACATGTCTTTCTATAATACGATATACTGTTCTAGTTTAAACAACTTGGTTTCACCATAAGTATTTAGACCATTACAAATTAAAATTAAAACTAACAAACAAAAGTAATAAAAGAAGATATTATGTGGGTTTAGGTTTGAGTTTATGTTTTATATGGATAAGAGAAATATACTATGGGGGAGGATGTATAATAAAAATATAGACTATTTGTATACGGTCCGGATCGGTTCCAATCCGGAACCGTGGGTTCAATCCGGAACCAATCCGTGAACTACGGATTTTATTCTTCAATCCGGAACCGAACCACAGATTCAAAAAACCAATCCAAACCTATCGAATTGGACTGGACTGGATCGGATTACGGATTTCACGAATTCCTTACTCAGTCTTATAACAATCTGGGGAAATTAATTGACTACTTATCAACATCATTGTCAGCCGGTGACATTATTGGCAGTTTTCGTTCTGCACTTTTGTATTCTTTCTTTGTTTCTTTGTTATTTCTTACTGAATGGAATGATACATTTGCCATCCCATCCGATGACACGCTTTCTCATGTTGCAACTTTTCTTTGATGGCTTAAATTAAAAAAATATTCATCGCATCAGTGGCAAAATCAGGTGAGCCAGAGAATAAATGGGAGTGGCGGTCCGTAGATTCTTCAACAAGCCTTCATTCTAATCATAAGTTGCTGCTGCCGTATAATCTCCTGTAAATTATCATGTCTTTTTTATCTATTGATCTCTTCCTCTCCTCATTGTTGGTGTGGGGATGTATTTTCTGAGTATCAACACGTGGCAAGGTGACGCTGACGTGTCAGCCAAGGTGCCACGTGTCTTGGTCGTTGTGCCGAGGTCATCTCAGCTAGGCCGAGGTTGCCTCCGAAGTATTCGGAATCCGAGATAAGCGGATAAGGGACAAGAGTCCTAGAATGAAAAGGGAACTCAACTTGGATATGAACAAGAGTCCTAGATTGGGAGAAGACTTCAGTTTGGGTAAAGATAAGGACTCTTAGAAAGTTTATCCTAATCCCACTGGAAGTCCCAGATTAGCAATAATCCTAAGTCCATTAGGGCCAGACTCGTATTGAGACTAGGATTGTATTGGCTATAAAAGAGAGGCACCTCCATGGTCTAAAGGCTTATTTATGCTTTTGATACTCAAGCTTGTGAGTTTAGTACTTGATTTATCTTTGAGAGATATACTGACTTGATCGTCGGAGTGCTCCCGGGTGGTCGAAACTACCGCGGGATTCTTATATTTCTGTTGCAGGTCAGTCAGGTGCCATCTATTCTGTCAGTACTCTCAAGCTGGTTACTAAGCGGGCAGTGTGGTCGGAAAATCACCCACACAGTTGGTTGGTCATTATCCTCTTTGTATTTTGATGTTTTCATTAATAAAGCCTGTTTTTGTTGATAAAAAAATTGAACTCTCAATTTGTGCTTCACCGGGGGCTGTATATATGATTTTTGTAAAATGGGATTGATAATATCATGGAATGATGGATTGGATTAATGATTACTAGAATATTGAATGAGGTTATATATATATATATTAAGAATACTTTATTTATTTATTTATTTATTTTATTAGATGGAGCAATAGGATTAATACTATGACATCAAATTACTATTATCATGGAGTTGTGGTTTCGGTAATCCCCTTATTTTAATTTGATTTTTATCCATAAATCTGGTAATTAGAATTTGTATCTTATTTGATATTATTTATAATTTGGATAAATTATGTAAATAGTCTATATATTTTACACGATGTGTCAATTTAGTCCTTGTTGTTTCAATTTGCTCAATTTTACCCTTAATTTAACAGATTGTATCATTTTAGTCCAATAAATAATAGTTGTTAAGTTTGGTGAACGGAAAGTCTACACAGTGTGTCAATTTGGTCATGTAGTTTACACAATGTGTCAATTTGGTCCCTGTTGTTTTAATTTGCTTGATTTTGACATGGGCCAAATTAACACATTGTGTAAACTACAAGGACCAAATTGATACATAGTTTGAATTTCCGTCCACCAAACTTAACAACCATTATTTATTGGACTAAAATGACACAATCTGTTAAATTAAAGGGCAAAATCGAGCAAATTGAAACAACAGGAACCAAATTGACACATTGTATAAATTACATACTATTTGTATATAATTTTCAAGTCCATTTAGTTTCTTAGTTTTCAAGAGGACTAAAAAAAATCCTCATTTTTAATGTAGCGTTTGGCTTGAGCATTTGAGCTTTGTAGGCTTATTTTGGAACCGATTTCAGTGATCCGAACTGTTGACTTTTTTAGACTCGTTAAGTAGAATATTTATTCAAAAAATCAAGATGATTAAACATCGGTAGTTATATATTTGAATCATATTTATTTTTAAAAAATAGACAACAAATATAATTTCAAGAATAATTATCTATTTTTTGTAATATAAATTTGATTCAAACATATAACTACCGGTGTTATTATCTTGATTTTTTGCAAAAATATTCTACTCAACGAATCTTAAAAAGTGAACAGTTTGGATCATCGAAACAATACCTGTGATGGGCTCTACCCCTTCCTTAAGTTCTCTCATGTTGAGATGTGAATATGAGAAAAATCTAACCATTTCGTATATCTCCAAATTTGTCATTATAATGTAAGGGTGAGCAAGATTTGATTTACTTCGATTTTGACATAAACTAAGATCAAGTTTTTTGAACATATTTGTTTTCTTGGTCACGTTTGAGAAAGTCTTGATTTTTTTGTTTCTTCTTGATCGTTATGAAATAATTTCTTTCGACAATGCAGTAGAAATTTAGTCAATTTGGTAGCATATGCACAGAACAAAATAGCATGCGAAGAACACAGCTTTGAATTTATTCGTTCTACTTTTTAAGTAAAAACTTTCAACATTTGTTCCCCAATGGCCCACTAAGAGCTTTATAAACTGGTACTAGCTAATAACGACACTAGAGTAACACCTACTGAATTCCACTGACTATAAGAGACAAAAACAGAGCGACAAACTTTCATCGTCATCTCTTCCTCATCAGCAGCAGAAACTAGCAGATGCATATTATTATTAAGGAATTATATCAGTCATGCTTCCCAACCCCTCAAGAGGGTGGCACGTGCAACTCGGCTCACTCCCAAAGTGAACGCACCCATACGAAGGTTGCATCCATGGGTACTGCACATCGCCTTGATTTCATGAAAAGCTCTCCTCATGTACTTCTCAAGCTCATGGTTCACTTTCTCTTCATCCCACATGAACCCTTGAATGTTCTGCAGTACACACACACACACACACACACACATATCAAATTATGTCATGGACTTAATATTTGCATATTTTAAAACACACGAGTAGATTTTCTCGTTGTTTGTGCTACCTGAACCCACTCGAAGTAACTCACAGTCACACCTCCAGCATTTGCATAGATGTCGGGAAGTACAACAACTCCTTTCTTGGATAAAATCTGCATAGGAGATGTATTATGAGATAGTATTTATTTGCTTGACATGTTGTGCCTCTTCAAGAAGTATGTACTAGAAAGAACCATGGATGCCTCATTACCTCATCTGCTTCAGGGTCAGTAGGATGATTTGCAGCTTCTATAACAAATTTTGCTTTCACATCAGCAGCATTGTCCCTTTGAACAACAAAACTTGTGTCATTAGTGCTTAACAAACAAGTCAAAACTAATATCTACGAGACATTCTTCTATTCTAGTAAATGAGAACTTCAAAGCATGTATAGCTGACAAGGATATACTAAATCATTTTTCTCGTTGGACAGGCCATAGGATATGTTTGACTTGTGATAATTTATTTTTGATGGATTATGTAAAGCTAAAAAAGCACTAATGCACCTATGCAACAAGGAAGGAATAAGCAGAGAATACGGGTTTCATAGATTGGCAGAGCACATACTTGTTGAGAACACCACCTAGAGCACATGGAATGAGAACATCACATTCATGAATTAGCAAGTTGTTTGGATCCATAGCATCTCCACCATTGAACCCCTTCAAACTGTTTGTGCTATCTTTGTGTTTCAGGAGAGCCGGAATATCAATCCCGTTGGGGTTCTCAACTGCCCCAGTAATGTCACTTACTGCCACAATCTTTCCACCTCGATCATGAATAAACTTGGCTGCCCATGAGCCCACATTTCCAAATCCCTAAGAAATTAATCAATGTAACAAAATTAATAATTAGGATATTAAGCACATAGATGAATGAAACTTCATGATGTTAAAAGTACCTGGATAGCAAACTTCATTTTTGAAATTGACACCCCATAATCAGCGAGTAGAGCCTCAGTTGCAAAAACCACTCCGAGTCCAGTTGCAGCCTCCCTGCCAAGCGATCCTCCGAGATCCTAAAATGCCAAACAAGCACTAGTAAACGTTTTTCACTTACATCATATCGATCACAACTTCTATATCTATTTTGTTGCCTTTTCAACATTGATTCTCCTACTTACTATAGGCTTTCCTGTAACAACTGCAGGTGAATGCCCATGAAATTTTGAGTACTCATCTAGAATCCAAGCCATTGTCTGTCCAAATAAAGCATAAAGTAACAACAATTGCATTTGAAATATACATATATATATGTGATTTTTGAAGTGTTAAGGGTGACAAGAAGGGGGTGATACTTGTGCATTAGTTCCCATGTCAGGAGCAGGAACATCAGTGTGTATTCCTATAAGATCATGGATCTTTTGGGTGAACACTCGAGTAAGACGTTCCAGCTCACTCTTTGTCAAGTCCATTGGGTTGCAACCAATACCGCCTTTTGCTCCACCATATGGAATATCAGCTACTGCTGTTTTCCATGTCATTAGTTGAGCCAGAGCATTCACTTCATCTGGGTCAACCTTGCAACATATGTTTTGAAAAATTTTAAGCAAGTATGAAACAAAGAAAACCTTAAATATTTTAGCTTTCATCGTCACCTTTATGCATGATTATTAACTTCTAGTGGATAAGCATGTAAAAGGAGGTAATATACTTTCATTCCAATGTAATAACTATTGTAGGATATTATATATAAGCAAGACAAATATTGATTTTTGAACAGGAAGACGAATTTTGTTGGGAATTCTACCATGTAAACACGAGATCAGGACCGCAACATCATAGAACTTTTTCTGTCTTAAAGAACAATTTAAATAATTATCAATATAGATTGATTATAAGAATTTGCGAAGCTCAATGGGTTAGACCAAAAGGTCCAATGAATTGATTAACAAGATCCATTGACCCATTAGTGCTATGTTTCCTTCCCATAATTGATGTATGTAAATTAAAATAAATCTGAATTTTTTTTCATTTCGTTTTTTATTGATTCTTCCAAATTACATTTCATGCTATTACAAATTAATTGAAAGATGGCAAAACCATAAATTGAAACAAATAACAAAATCAGAAAACGATAAAATAAGACATTGTAAATGATATGTTATAAGCATGCCAAGTATTCCCTCAGAGATTCAATATTGTATCTTATTATCCATTAAAGGATACAAGGATGCAAGACGACAAAAACACGTTATGATCATATGTTTTGATCATAAAGAGTAATCGACAATAAGTTTCAGAATTCTATTTTGTAATAAAAAAGTCCATCCACTTAAAGAAAAAAAGGGATGTACAACGAAACCATGTTGAAAATCCTCAGTGATTTGTGATTAGATCAAGATGAAAATATTCCAAATCCCAATTATCCAAAACACACAATCTAAATCAACAAGCACTTACGAAAGTGATTTAGATTGTTTGTTTTTCGGAATAAACAATAAATCGACACAAACGATTTTTACTTGAAAAAAACCACAATTGAAGAACTTTCAATTGTAATCAAAAACCACGGGCGAAACGCCACTAATCAATCCACTACTGAAGAAAGAAAGATTACAAAAATAATACACAAATTACCCAACTCAGTCAATTTGTCTTCGAATCTTCTGTAACTCTTTCACCACACCTTCGTCTCGGAACTGATCAATCCTGAAGTTGAATCCACAACTTCACTTGTCGAATTAACGACTGCGTACAGAATCAAACGACTTTTGAAAACTCTACGCTTGAATCTTCGGAATCCACCGAAGAGAACTCTCTTGAATATAAAGTAACAAACTCCTTGATGTATGAATCTCAAATCATAAGTTTAGAACTCTCTCAAAAACATCAAGGAAAACTCACAAAAACCTCAGAAGAAAAGCTTCAAACAAAACCCTAGGACTCTTGAATAAGATCTAGGAAATACTGAGAGACCCTAATTTCCGCTTGAGCGCCAATGGTCCCGCTCGAGCGGGAAAGACAAAAACATAGAGAAAGTTACAACTTGTTCAACACAAAGTTTTGTATCCGGATTTGACAGTAAAGGGACCTAACACATGTCGCAACAAAAGACGCCATTATAAATAGATATGCTTGATGACTTTCCCAAATAATGACATACAAATAGCATTTATACAGTTAAACTGCCAGTTATGTACAGTTGATACATATATGGCTGGTTAACACATAATCACACTATGAATTAGTAAAATTTGACGTAAATTGAGCTTCCATTAAATGAGTGAAAGATTTAGAAACTGTTCAAGTCCTGGCTTCATCCCTTTTTTGCAAAGTAGTCCCAAGAAAAAAAAAATTGCTCTCAAAATTACTAGATCTGTCATTAAACCCGTGTTTGGCAAACATTTTAGGAATATTGACAACATTGATTTGGAATAAACAAGGGATTGTCACGATTATAGTAAATATCAAGATTAATCTTTGGGAATCATTATAATAAAATAAAATAAAATAAAAAATCCCAGAAGAAAAAGGGAAAAAAAAAAGGGAAAAAAAAAAAAAACTGTACTTAAAATCATAACCACAACTCTGATCCACATGAACATAAATTTAATGATCAACCAGTTGTCCTTAGCATCATCATCAAGGTTGATGATCTATAAACAAAAATGCAAAAATATATACAGAGGCAATTGCATGCCAAAACAAAATTTGATTACCAACTCCAAAGTAAAATCAGAATTATGCCCAAATCAAGATTCACCAGTCTGATCCATATTCAAAACACTAACTAAAAAACCCAAGTAAATATCAAAATAAATTCCATCAACAAATATTCTCAAACATGCAAAACATCAAATAGAAAGAGTCCACACTATAAAAACACAGCTATAACAGTGCAAAAACACCAAAACCCAAAACCCAATTCAATGAAATTAGGACAGACTAGCACCAACAATAATTACCTCAGGGTGGTAACGAATGCCGCCTTTCATTGGACCTCGAGCATTGTCATGTTGAATTCTGAATCCGACATAGGACACTAGAGTTCCATCGTCTTTTGGGATCGTACACTCGACCTGAAAAACAAGAGACAAAACACAAGTGAAAAAAGTTTGAAAATTTAGATGAAAACAGAGGATTGAAGAAAGAGGGTTTTTTTTTTTAACTTTGATTTCTCTGAAGGGGATGAGGAGGCTCTTCTCGAGCTTGGAATCCAAGCCGAGAATGTGAGAGGCGAGGCGGAAGTTGCGTTTGGTGGCTGCAAGAGCATTCATGGTTGCAAGAGAGAGAGCTTGACAGACTCCAATGGAGGTTATAGGAGGACAAAAGGGTTGAGAGAGAGAGAGGGGGAGAGAGAG